ATAAAACCAGTCAGGAGGGGGGATTGGGCAATATTCTAGAGTATGAACTTTTTTCTCACTTTTGTCCATGATTTTTGTCGTTGGCAATAGCTTGTGCAGGAATTCTTTTTTCACATCAAAAAACAAAATAATGATACAAACTGTAGTAGAAAGCACTTGCTCGATTTTCCCTATAGCTCCAATTACACAATTTGTTTTTTCAGAAGTATTTGCTATTCAGGAATTTGCTTTGGGGGTAATTGCCTACCCCTGCCCCCCCCCCCCCCCCACCCACCTCGAAAAATACTTTATCTTTTTTCACTTACCTTTCAATCACCATTTGCGAAGACACCTTCCAAATAAACATTTCCCCATTGATACTGGCAGATGCGAGGTAATTACCACAGGGTGACCATGCTACTAAGGATACTAACTGCGTGAATAGGAAACACAACCATTTCAATATCATGAGACTATTAACACTAACTGTTCTGAAGTATAGAAAACACTATAATTCTAATAGCAAGCAAGCACTTGCTTGTTTATTATGGATAATAAACAAGCACTTGCCCCCTCCCATACATTTCATGGATCATGTGTACCAAAGGTATCTGCTGTCAAGTGTTGATTGACACTCAATTGACATCTCAATTGACACTTGGTCGACACTCTTTCAACAGTCAGTCAATAATCTGCCAAGTGTCAACCCACTCATATGCATCAATCAAAAATTAGTTGACTCTCAACTGACTGTAGACCAATATGCCAATTGAATGTTGATCAAGTGTCAACTGAGGTGTCGATGGAGTGTTGACTGAGTGTCAATCAAGGGCCCATCAAGGGTACCGATCGAGGGTTATTAATCAACACAGGACCACAGATGCCTTTAGAACATGTGATCCCATTTCTTTGTAAAAACTGGCAAGTTTGGAGAAAATCAATACCTCGCTGTGACCATCTTTTTCCATGTTAAAAACATTCCTCCAAGTTTCCTGTTCATAGACCTAAAATGAGAAACAACCAATATTCATTCAGCCAATGACAAACAAAGAAGCGTAATGTGACATGTAATGCATAAATCAGTCACTGTAAAATGTTTGCAATCACATGATAACGATATTTTCGTACCTTGATAGTTTTCTCCACAGGAACAGCTAAATACTTAAGTTCCAGAAAAGAGAGAAGATAGTTTAAGATGATTAATTCTACATCAGTCTAGCAATAACCACTGAAAAAGTATTACCCCAGGCTATAATTTCTCATCCCAAAGGTAAAAAAAGTTTGAGGCCAGTACTTATTTCTGACCAGGAGTATTCATAATCCCCCTGGTGGGGATGCTAGTAAATTACAGGGTCATTCCCCCAGCATTCTATTTGCTAGTGTCGACAAGTGTTATTTTGCACAAATGGGAGGAGAGAGTTGAGACAATGAGGGTAGCGAATCTTGGCCATGAACAACATCATTGCCCTGGTCAAGACTCAAACGAAGATCACTCTATCTGCATGGAGTGCAACACACTAACTATAGGCCAACATACTTTGTGTTATCTCAAAGAACATTGGTTATGCATCAACACAAGAGTCACACATACTTTGCCATTGCCTGGCTGCCAGGCAAGACGACACAGAGTCTTTGAGATCCTAAGGAAGGCAAAATAACAATAAAATAATAATTAGAATTATTATGATACAATTATTAATATTTTTTCATAAACTTTACAGATGCAAATTATGCCAACTGAATCATCGTTGACCCAACCCTGATTGTTGTTACCACATAATATACTCCTTTTGAGTTAAATATATCAGTGCAGGTTAGTGATAATGTGGTTTATTTCTCAAAGCATACTCAAATGACAATACAAGCTTGTGGCTTAACATCATTAAATATTGTGGAAACATCAAGCAAGATCAAAACGTCCTACAGACCAACCAGCCAATGGACTGACTGATCAACTGTCTGACCAACTGATTCACCAACTGACTGACCAACAGGCCAGTCAACTGCCAGGCCAGCCAACTGCCAGACCAACCAGCTGACTGACTGACTGATTGACTGCCTCATAATAAAAATTTCACTACAATTACAGTGACCCACCTTGCATCATTCACTTTAGGAAGAATAGAAAATGTTGTCAAGCAAGTCTAGAAATCAAAATAAAATGTTAATGATACCAATAGAACAAGCCAGTTATTATAACATGGATTGTATAAATTTTTGCTGTATCAGGGCAAAACAATTGTTTTTGACAAAACTTGTCCCTGGGAAAGTGGCATGTATGTGACAAGGTCACTTTAGTTCATTTTCAGTTCTAATTTTCAAACTATTTTTATTAGTGTTGTGTTATTCTTCTTCTTACTATTTGGGTTATTTTCCTACATTAGTTTGGTTTCCTTACACACCTTATTTTGGCATGTGTTGGTGATTCATTCCCACACACTTCTCTTAGCTAAATCCTGTTGTGTAGGAGAAGTTACCTCCTAGTTCCCTTAGGTAAATCCTGTATTCATGGGCAACAAATACACTCCCTAGTCTTATTTGGTTTAGAGTTATTCCTACAGTTTCCTCGAATCTATTATAAATTGCCAACCATTTGTTCAGCAAATTCGGTTGATTCAGTTGGTTTATTCTGAGCTATACTCAAGTTCTCGAGTCAAGCACTGGTTTAGTTTGAATGTTATATTCTCAATAACCCTTGTGTTACTTGTTCCCATTTATTTTGTTCCTTTTATTATTGTCTCCGTCATTTTTGTCAATAAACTCGTAAATCATACACTCGTATCTGTCGTTGCTACGTCGACCGTTTTGGCCATGTTACATAGAATTTTGAGAGAATACTCAAACATCCCCCATAGTGTAAATTCTTAATTGCAACCGCATCCGTACAATTACCTAAGTATACTATTTCAGCTTAAGTATAAATCAAACTTTTACATACCTGATCCTCCAGCTTCCATATTTTTACTGTACCATCACAACTTGATGAAGCCTGAAAATCAAAATCAAATATCATGTAATGACAGTGTTCATTAATGGTTATCCTCTCTCACTTTCCTTTAAATTTGCATGGTGTCCTGTCTTTCCAGCAAGTGAGGTAAGGTAAGCTGGTAAAGTCTGCATACGAGCCGAATGGCCCATCAGGCCGGAACTTATCCAGTTTCTGTAGCATGAAGCAACTAGGAGTATTTCTACTCCCCCTGGATGGGATGCTAGTCCATCGCAGGGTTACCCCCAGCATTAAGTTTGCAAGTACCAAATTATACACCTGGGTGGAGAGAGACACTGTGAGAGTAAAGTGTCTTGCCCAAGAATACAACCCAATGTCCCCGGCCAGGGCTCGAACCCGGACCACTTGATCCGGAGAGGAGCGCACTAACCATGAGGCCACCGCGCCTCCCACTTCCAGTAAGAGAAAGTCATTTCAATTTCTTTCATTCTCAAATTGTAAATTTGTTCAACACTGTGCACTGTAAACTTTGTTTTCCATGTGTGTGTCAAATACACACAACTGTGTTACTGCAGGCTTAGATGAAATCAGGTACTGGAGGCCAAGGACAAAGGAAAGTATTACAAACACTACTTAAAAGAGAATTTCTGTTTCAAATTTAGGACTGAAAGGGTTACAGCTTAACAGGATCCTTAATGAGCAAAAATTTTCAAGTTGTACTTACAATGTATTGATCTTTAGGATCAATTGCTGTGCTTAACACTGGAGCTTCATGACCTTTGAGTATTCTCTGGCTTCCATCTGCCACAGTTACCACTTTGATGTTGAAATCACTATGAAATTAAACATAGCATACATGTTACTTATATACAGGAAAATTATTTAAGAAAGCTCTGGATTCATGAAAAAAATATATATTTAAATAAATTCCTAGATTCTGGTTGGTCGTTAATGAATTTATAATATGCTGTTCCAGAAAATAACCATACCCCTAGTACCACAAAAAGTTTTTTTTTGATTAGATCCCTCCTACTTCTATGGAAATTCTACGTGAACTTCATTCTATGCAACTTCTATAAAAAATTTGGCCTTTTGAAATCACACTCTGTCTCCTCTCCTCTAAAATTTCCAACAATTATTTTTGGGGGTGGGTACGAAGACTTTTTGAAACTGTACAATGTGTGGTTCCAGAAAATATCCATACCCTTACCACGGAGGGAATTGGGAATTCTGGAGGGGTGTAGGTGTCAAAGACCTAAGAAATTCCAGAGGGGAGGGGGTAGGTTGGTCTCTTTAGTTTCCAGATGCCCTTCGATTCAATACGGATTCAAGTGTCTATCTAGCTGTTCAAAAATCCTTTCTTACCAACTAAGTAGAACTTTCACATGAAAAGAATAGTAGCTTGAATACTTGTATTTGAATCGCATTATATTTGAAATAAATTTTCTTTCTTCAAAAAGGACTTTGGAAGCTAACAAATGTGAAAATGGCTGTCATTACTTGTTACCAGTCTACATGGAGTCATCTTGTGGACCAAACAGCACTGGTGACTATCGCAGTTTGTTTTCACATCAGTCTTCGAAGCTGTTGAGTGGCAGTCGATTTCTTTCATGAAATTAGTTTCTTAATAAAGGTACAAATGATGTTAAGATTTTCGCAAACTTGAGAATTTCTTATTCTTGTTTATCTCTCTCCATTTGTATGTAATTTTGCTGTAACATTGGGTTTCGTTCTGAGTGTGTTAGCAATCGTTTTCACGATAAAAGTATGCAGAAGTATGGTGTCACTTTCATCCACACTCATCTAATCAAATCCTTTAACCGAAACTGTATCACATTTTCAAAGGGTAATTTGACAATTTACTATTTTATCTATTTTCTTTTACATGTAACACACTTTCTTGCCAAAACTATTTTTTCCCAGAGGGTATAGGGGGCGTACATAGACTTGTGGAAATTTCGGGAGGGTGGGGGGGTATTTTTGTGTTCAAAAAATGGAAATTCCAGGGTGGAGGGGAGGGGGAAAGTTGCGTGAAATTCCCTCCATGGTGGGTGTATGGATATTTTCTGGAACTACACAATGAGATATAATGTGCCACACACACATATATACTCTGTACTAAGTTCAAATATTTGTAAACTTAAACTATCCGCTGACCAAGTTGTTTTTAGCTTCAAACTTCGCAGCATACCTCGCTCCTGCTACCATAACTGTTCCTGATTGGTTAAAGTAGATGTGATTGACAGGTGCAGTAAATCTGGTAAGAATTCCATCAGGAGATCCCTGATATTAAAACAAATTAAAACAACTCTTGTCAGAAGAAAGTACCAGCAAAATGGTCAATTTTTTTCGTTATAATTCAACCAGGGGTTTCACTAATGGCCGTACAATGGCCACACAACAGGCAATTGACTGGCTGCGAGGATGGTTTTGCCCACTTCTTTTGACCATCTAAAGAAATGTTTTTCCCATAAAGAAGTTTCCTTCAAAAACTTCTATCCGCCACTGAAAACCAGTTGTCCTTCTGCTGAATAGGCTAATGAAACCACTGTTTAACTTGGACTTCAGATCTTCTTACAACCTAATAAATTTTACCACCAAGTTTTTTCACATTTTTGGACGGGAATTGCTATGATAATTTCAAAAATGAAAATAACAATCATTGCAATAGCATTTCTTTAACTGTGTTTAAGTCTCTTAAATTAATAAGGATTTAACACATGGATATTTACCTCTGGGAAGGTAAATGCCTGGACAGAATTGTCACATGCCGTCACTATTTTCTTATTCTGTGTGAGAAAAAAGATGTTAGTGTGCATCACAATAAGCATTACTCAGTAATTTAACAAGTGGGTGGAATATTGTCCATAAAAATTTCCGAGGGCTTGAAAAGGTCATCTATCAGCTAAATTTAAAAAAAAAAATTAAACTAAGATAGGGTTCCAGATAACTTTTCAATGCAATGCAGGGTGCCAATAAAGAACTCCAGTGGGTCAATTCCTGCTGTTCCCTCCAAATCGTTATAAATTTTTCTATTAACTTGTCGGGTCATGTAGCTGACTTTGTTGGGTTTTCAAAAAATTTAACCTAGGTTGAAACAATTTTGACCTGAAATACATTTTATATAAACTACAACACACACAATCCAATCTACACTCACCTTAACTGCTAGAACTGTGACATTATCCCCAACTCTAACAGATTCTGGATCACTGTCGTCAAAATCTTTATAAATACGCACATCTCCATCTGATCCACAAGTCAAGAGATAGCTATTCCAAAACAGCACAAATAATTATGTACATTTACATAATTTATGCATGTTTAAAAGTTGATTTGCTTTCACTGTGGACTTGGTGAAAGAAACTATCACAACTTGAATGCCACAGTTAGTATGGGGCAAATCAAGGCATTCACCTTGGTGATTTTTTTTTTTTTTTTTTTTTTTTTGAAGGAAGAAAACAAAACACTGCTAAACAACTAGAAAGAGAATTAAACCACGGATATTGCCTCGGTCAAAACTTTTTGCTGGCTACGGGCCTGATGTGCAAAGATCTAGCATCTAATTTTCTCTTCATAGAATCTTGACCTCACTACGTTTGGTCTGTACTCACAACCTCGGTCAAGATTCTCCCATACGGACCTCCCGTTCGGTTAATAAGAGCTAATTTTAAAATCATCTCAAGAGCTCTAAAAAGCACAGGCGTTGTAACTAATCGATACCAATCGATGTAAATTAAACTTATTACAAAGCTTATTATCGATTGATATCGATTGCTCAATTTAATTTCCGATCATCGATTTGTCGGACCGGGCTTCGAATAACAATTTTGGAAATGATAAATTTCAAGTGCTCTAGCTTCGCGGCTTATGGAGAAGATCCGACATTTTACATTCACCTTTCATAAACTGATCGAACGATTGAACATAGCTCTTCAAGTGAATGCAGGGTGAAAATATTTGAATCAGGCCCCCATAAATGATCCGACATATTCATCCGACGCTGCAGCCAGTGTGATTTATAAATCGTATTTTAGACCAGGCAAGAGGTTACAAAACAACACAAGTGCACGCCATTGAACTAAGCTAAAAAATTCGTTCAACTTACTCGCCCTTTTCGTCGTAACAGACATCTGTATGTCCCTCACTGTGAGCAAATCGCATAGGTTTTCGATCGGTCGACATTTTGGCTCTTTAAAGGTCCTAACGGGTGAAATTGAGCAATGTTTTCCTTGAATTTCGAAGTTCTCTTACCGCGCTCATTCGCACAACTTTCCCGCCACTTGGAAATATAGGACCGAACGGAGTTCTGGTATAGCTCGGTTCAGTTTCCCTCCGTCTGACTTTTTCCCGGGCGAAAAAAAGGTTCTACGTTTCTTTTGGGATATACAGCGGAACCTCGATATAACGAAGCGCTAAGGGACTGGAAAAATATGTTCGCTATAGCGAGATTTCGTTGTATCGAGGTTCTTTTCCATACATTTTATTATTACTGGGGCCAGAAAAACAGACTTAATAAAGATAAAGTGAAAAACCGAATGAAAATATCTTTCCCAGCCCCTCCCGCCACCCAATCTTCGATCAAGCACAAATAATTCAAACTGAGGTAGCATAGCTAGACTTATTACAAGATTTGAAGAAAACATGTCGGCAAAGAAGTGCATAGCCTTTGTGACAATGTAAAATTAATAACGACTGCAAGGAGAGTAGAGTATTGGAAAACCAGTTCAGATTCGCAAAAGTGTAAAAGAGAAATCACAGAGGGAACCGGAAAACAAGCGAATATGAAAGTCCTACTCTGCCTATCACTTGAATTGGACGACGTCTGAGTAAATCAGGGGGGACCCAGGAACCCCTGAAAGGGAGAGGGGTTTGCACTTTCGATCCTATTGGCGTGGACGGTCGTGGATGGCGAACGCGGGCCGCGTTCGTGAGTTTCTAAAGGGGTCCGGGATCATCCCTCACAGGAAAATTTTTTCGATTTTACCCTCTAAAACGCCATTTCAAACGTCTCTGACTCTTGAAAAGCGTTTGTGGAGGGATGATATAAAATCTTGAGTTTATCTTACTTCTCAACCAGAAATATAAAAATAATAATGTAGTCGTGAAATGTACATTATCTTTTTCTCAACTTGACAATCAGTCAATTGGTGGAAGTTAAAAACTACGTATAAAACAACTTTATTCCATTGTTTCTATGAAAGGTCAAAGAGATGACAAAAAATTACTGCAGAGAGGAAGAGGGGTGCAACCCTCCCCAGTCCCTCCCCTGGATCCTCCTCTAGAGCTAAATGCCATTGCCACTGGTTTTAGGAAGATACAAGGCTGGGTACTAAGTTGAGCATTCCGGGGGGGGGGGAATCTTTATTCCTCTTTTTTTTTTTCTTAACTCAGTTTATTGAGTAAGATGGCGCTTTCGAAAAAGGGTAACGTTGCATTAAGATTTAAAATACACAAGATGCGTGATCACTTTTAGTAAAATGAACATGTGTCAATTAATGTTTTAATGCAAACATATGGACACAAAGAAATCTTTTTTAAAAATACGGATTTTTCGAGATAACTCTTAACCATTCAACTCCCAAGAGTAATCAATATTTAATTTATCTTTATAACACCGGTTTCTTATCAAACAGAGAGATAACCAAAACGAATTAAGAAATTAAATAATTTGGCCAAGTCTGGACGAATATCAAACTCTCTGAACTGGAATGACTTTTGATAGGTCCGCAACAAGTGCTGAGTGATTTCCACTCTACTGTTAACCGCGTTAGGCGCCAATCCCCGTACTTAGTAATATCCCGCGGGGGGAGGGGGAATCCTATAGGAAAAGGTCGTGGATACTCGTCGGAAAATTTGAACTCTAAAAGCTAACGGCAAAAAATGGTGGTGTCTTCTTCCTGAACATCGTAAGTGAGATCAGAATCCGTGTTTTACCCCCCTTAAGCGAAACGACGAGCATCCTCGACCTTTCCACATGGGAGACCTCCCCCGTGGGTACTACCTACGTTAAAAATACTTCGAATGGCAAAATAACAAATTCTCTACGGATAAAAAACACTGTCCCTCCAAATAACATGAAGGCATGTCAGACGACTATATTTTAGCGAAATTCGTGTACAAGTCAATAACGGCAATAGTTTTGTCCTCTTTAGGCCAAAGTTCTTTGTCCCTAATGGCTAATTAACAGTGCATATCTTTGTAGAATTCCTCCAACGTCCTGCGCTGTTGTAATCACTAATTCAAGGAGAAAAGCATTGAATTGTTTTGTTTTATAGACAAGTATAAGCGTTTGTCTTCGCTAACTCATCCGGGAAATAGAATGCAGGTCGACGGACTTCGGACTTTGACCTTTGTTTAGTGGTGGACGATTTGGTCTCGTCTTTTACCGCTAAGGAGCGAACTGACATTGTCTGTAAAGAAATAAGAAAAAATATACACCAATTAGCGTGGCCATACATTGTAAAGTCTAATTTCGCAACTTTGTCGTAAAAACTTAGACTACAAGTAGTCCCTCTTTCACTTAGTCTGTTGCGCGAGACCGTAAATAATCCATGAGGTAAAAATGG